AAAAAAAAAACGAAGAACGGAGAAGATTATAATTGAATATGGAAAGTGAACAAAAAATGTGTCTTCTTTCAGAATTCTGCCGGTTTTTTTCTTCTCCCTTTCCTGCTAACTTTTTATAGCGCTTTATCTTTTAACTAATCTTAACTAGCTGAAAACAATTTATTTTATTGGAAAAACAGAAAAAAAAAATGGGGGGGGGGGGAGGAAAAACAGTGTTTTAGGTTAGTGAATGATATGTAACTGAGCATTTTGTCATTCCTTCCATATAAACACAAAACAGTTTTACTTTCTGCTTTTGATCATTTAAACTAAATTAGCTTTAAGAAAAAAAAAAATAGGGAAAGGAATAAAAAAAAGTGAAAGACAACAAAGATAAACTAATAATGCTTATGCAATGTTTTATTGACAATTTTGAAATGCTACTGAAGAAGATTGAAAGATGCTAACAAGGGAAAAAAAAAAAAATTTACAGGGGTTTTTAAAGGCAGGGAAAAAAGATAAAGGATAAATTGAAAGGAAATAAAATTACAAATAACAATGAACTACTTGTTTTTTTTTTTTGCTACTAATCAGATTATTTGGTTTTGTAAACGTTGTTCATCTGAACTGACCAATTTTCAGCAACCACGAAGATAAGCCTTAAAAGAAAAGGACCAAAAAAAAAAAGACAAAAATGAAGCAAAAATAGCAAAACTTTTTATAGCAACATTAATCATACAAATTTTTGTACAAATCTTCTAAATCTATGATAAACTTTTTCAAATCAACCAAAAAAAAAGAGAACGCAAAGAAGGGAAGTATTAAGTAAATTTTTGGACAACTGTTTACAGACGGATACAGATCTTAGGAAAGAAACGGATTGTTGAAGCATCTTATTGAAGCAAATAAATAGTGACGGGACAATAGGATGACAGTTTTTGACCAACTAACAATGTTTTAAAAAAAATCTCTAAGTTTATCATTGATAAAATAGGAGAAAAAAGTTTTTTTTGAATGAACTAAACAATAGAGGTTGTTGGATATTACGACGAAATTTTTTAATTTAACAAATTCGTTATGATACTTTGCAATGTTTGCAAATTATTTCATAAATTTTTCCACTGCTCACTTTTTTTCCAACAATTTTATACTGATGAAAAACAGGAAAGTAAAGTTAGTTTTTAGCTGAATCAGTTTAATATGTAAATATCACCTGTGTGTTGTGGTGTATTTAATGTTTTCTGTTTTGTTTTTACTATTTTTGTCTACTTTCCTTCTTTTCTTTTTTTTTTTATATTTCTTAACAAATTAAGAGTCAAAGCTGAAGCAATAAATTTTTATTTCAGAATCTTATATAGATTTAATGTTTAAGAGGAAGAAAGTTTTTCTTTTTTCCCTGTCTAAAGAAAACGTTGGCATAAAACAAAAAGAAACAATTATCATTGTAACAGTTTTATTCATTTTTTTTTGGCAGTATTTTTAGATTTTTTTTTTATTCGGTTTTCTGTTTGTAATTCTATTTAATTGGTGGTTATTGTTATTTTTTTTCTTGCTGAAAGATAAGGAAAAAATAGTTGTTCACAAAGGTTTATGAACACTGTGACATCCGTGAACAATGAACCTTTGTGCCAACAAATATTACCAGTGCTTTCTCTGTCAAATTTTAATCAGTCATTTAGTTAGAAAGTTAGTCGGTTAGTTAGTGAATTGATTAGTTGATTAGTCGATTAGTTGGTTAGTTGGTCGGTTTAGTTAGTCAACTGGTTGACCAGCCAGATAGCGATTTGTTCAGTCGATTAGTTAACTAAAATCAACTGCCAGCACTGTCTAGGTTTTTCCTCTTGTTTAGCAAATAAACAATAGTTCTAAAAAAAAAAAAATTTGTCAAAAAGGTTATTTAATGAAACAATGATCTAACCTAGCCAAAACAAATAAAGAAAATGAATGGAGTTAGTTTTATACAACGGATGACCTGTTTTTGCACTTTTAAATCCCCGGCAAAAAAAAGGGGAATACTCTGCATAAATTTTTGGTTAATCAACTTGACCGACTTTGTAACACAGATATTAATTGCTCAAAATGTGTTTTGAGTGT